GAAGAAGCTAGGAACTAGTCCACAGGGCATCGAATGCTGAACATTGGCCGAGTCGCCTGTTCTAATTGTGGACAAATTGCGTTGAGCTCAGAAATCATTCGATCAATCTTTTGTCTATCTGTGACTTTTGCCACATCAAGCGAACGAATCTCTTCAAATTTACACTTATAAATGCTGCGAATCACAGGAACTCGCTTGTCCAGAAAAGCAATAACGGGAGGAAAATTGTGCTCATAGAAGTAGTAGCTATCAAGACTGTGCACTCTTTCTCTCGGTTCCTTTAAATCGTAGTAAGCCTCAAGGGTCTGCGCCGATGCGATTTCTGCATCGCTAGGATCTGTATAGTTATCAGGCACCCAAGGAGGTGGCGGTGGTAACTTCAGGGCCTTGCGCAACTCCTCTTTCCCAATAAGTATTATTGATCTTTCAATCAACAACCTATTGATGACCCGGGCTAACCCATGTTTCAGAATGCCGTTCCAAATCTCTTCGTGATCACTAGAGCTCAAGCACGAGATCTTGGCCAACTCAGCGTCTTTGTCGCATAATGGTCCGGTTATGTTCTTTAGTGTATTTGGAGCTAAGGTTGAAGTTGAATTGCTGGAGGATTCCTGGCTGTCTGAAGTTATTCATTACATACTATGAATTTTTCAGCCGAAATACAGTATATGGATCTGTGCAACCATCTATTTCAACTAACATACCTGCATGTACAGTAATCGTGAGGCAGAAGCAGACGATGATCGTAGTGAGCATTTCTTCAGCTGGAAATTTGTATCGTACTCAGTGGATTCACGTGAGAAAAGGACGAGTTGGTAGTGCAGCGGAGTCTTTATGAATCAAGATTGATAACAGACAAAATATGGATCATTAATTTCGCACAACTTAACCCAATTCTAGACGCGAAGTTAATGCCTATCCTTGACACTTTGTTCACGGTTAGATAGAGAGAAAACACGACTTGTGTCCTCTCTCTATTGTCCGTAACGCAATGGATAGGGGAGAAATGGAACAGTCCGCGTCGTTTACGTGGCAAGCGTGAGATGTTCATTCAGTTGTTTTCATTTCTCGGATATCAGAGATGGAAGCGGTTGTGCATCAATTCAAATTCTTTTCGTGGGAAGCGTGAGGTCTTCATTCAGAAGTTTTCATTTCAGAGGAGATAACAGAAACGGAAGCGGTTGTGCAGCAGTTTTCATTCTCCAGGTTCTGTATTCTTTTTCATTCTCGAAACTAGCAACAATTTAACTCTGAGCACAACTTCAGGGAATCAACGTGATAACAGATTCTATTCGATTACCTGTGACGAGCCTCTGCCGCTTGAATGAACAGACTGAGGATTCCTGTATGGATACGTTCGACATTGTGGAAAGTATTATGACCACGACAAATAGAGAACTGTTTCCTAG